GTGCCTTTAGAATGAATAACGCGGATTCGTTGCTCATACCTTTCGTTAAGGAGGTGAGGGAAACATCCGCGATGCCGATTGGTTATGACCACTGCTAATGAAGAAGGACACATGGAGAAGTCTCCCCCAGCGTGGAACGGGGTGACTTCATTTTTGGGGAAAACCAGTCGCGTCTGGTGGCCATGTGTTCGGTTTTCCGTTCGGCGACTACCCGCTTTCTCCGTGAATTTTGAAAGTCTAATAAACTCAAGGACTTCTCCGAAATTCTTACAAACTCTAACAGGAAATACCTTTAGACAATAGTTGACTGGCAAACGTGTGGAAACAATGCAGCCAAATGTGCCGTTTTATGGTGGGTCCTTGAGTTTATTGAGGGTCTGGCCGGCTGGCGATGGGCCGCTGGCTGCTAGGCAGCGTCGACTGGAATGCAGATGTTCCATGCGACGCAACAGGAAGAACATAGACTTTTCTATTAGAATTTAATTTTACCCCTATTTTTCACGAGTTAATGATCTTGTCGTTTGTATCGTTTTACTTCCAAGTCGCTTAATTATTAAATTATTTTTATTTACTTCGATTTAATCTTCCCGCTATAATCGTGAGTCTCAATTTCAACGACAGGTAAAAGATCAAACACCCACTCGTAATTTTCCCGTAAAAAAATACAAGTTACGTCTTCAACGCATTATTTTCAATAAACTTTTAAAGAATTCCACCTACATACACGTTCGTTGATCGTGCAAAAATCAGACGCAAACAGCTGTACAAATAAACTTGAGATTAACTTTCGTCATTGAAAAGATGCGATAAAGTTCATATATTTTCTGATGACAGAATTCTTTTTCAATTGCAATTCCTATTACTAATTTTCTTCGTCCGAGCTTCGCTTCCTATTTACGATACTATTTTATTCAAATTGTGTGCAACGTTCAACGTTTAAAAATCTTAACGACATTCGACAAATTTTCTATCCAAACTTTCTCCTAGCTCTGCTCCTTTACGGTTAAATCAAAAGAGAAGAGCGTTAAGTTACTGACGTATGGATAATAAGCTAAAGAATTCTATTTGTATGTAAATAAATATACAATTACTTATACAAATTGCATACGAAAATGCCATGATCGATCGAGAAACGAGGTAAAAGATACGTTCGACCGCCACGTGGATATTCTAAATTATCAAAGCTTTAGTAGAACCGTTCACGTGTTCTAATTTAAGGTAGAAAAATTTACTGAATGTTCAGCTGGACAAATTGTAAAATACAAATTAAATAATAATAATAATAAAAAAAAGTGTTCCGATAAGCCTCAACCGGGTTGCGTTCGAGTCACGTAACGACAAAAAACCTGAAATAGATTTACTGTTCGAAACTTTCGGGCCGAGCCAGACGTATGTATATTATGAAAAGATTTCGAAAATGCTCGTCTGACGGGAAAAGAACGAAGCAAAAAGGCAGTAAAAGGAATTTCCTATCCCGAAAGTCATGCTCAGACTGAAAAAGCTTTTGTCAGCTTCGTTGCATCCACCGATTATGAATTAACGCTTTCTGTAAATTTTTTCGAATTCCAGATGCAAAATACTCTCGCGAAAGAATTCGTACACTCGTCAACGTCTTTTACGAACGTGTTACGCGTATTATACGGAACATTTTGAAATTGCGTTGATATCGTAATGATTGATCGACGCTCAATTATCGCGATTACACTGGTGAAAATCTAAATGATTTCAAAAATCAAAACAGTGTTCAAGTACAAAAAAATGTTTTGAAAAGTTGCAAGATATTTGGTGCAGATGGCAAAGATATTTAAACAGACCAACGTCGGCAATATTGATAAGTCTCGATGTATTGTATTTATACTGTATAGGAATTTCGTACTAAACATAAGCTTGCAGCAAATATCTTGAAAGTTCCACATATATTTTTAGACTAGCTTCCAATTTTGCCAATATAATCATGGCAATGGTGGTGCACTATGGTGCTGATGAAGTTTCAAAATGTTTTACATAACACGCGCAACATGTGTCGCAATATGTGTTCGGAGTCATAACTTATGATCAAACTAGCTTCCATAATGGTTTGCTGGATATTTGATCTAAAAATTGGATATTCTCTGAAATTCTTCAGAACTGTACGCTTCAGAAGGGACGAGACGATTCTTAGAATCCTTAACGATGTACGTATTTGTGACTATTCCGAGAGATTTTCTCCAGGTTTACAAATTTTCTATTTTTTAATCAATTATTCTCCACACGCCGATGAATGAAGTTTATATAGAAAGTCTTCCGTAACACCTGACCAATGGCACGTTTATGCGACTTGCCAATGAAAAACTGACTTTCTAAATATTATTGTTTCCTACTCTCCGTGAAACGGCTAAAAGAAAAAATAAATATTAATTTTTTGACGATGTAGCTCGAGAGAGGCTCGAACAAACCATTGGATAATAACGTGTAGCGAATATAAACTTTCAGTTATCCTAATAGTCATCGCCTTAACTCGACTGTTAATATTCGTTTCTTATGAACAGACGAAGATGTGTATTTTTTTGTATCTGATAAAATCATTCATTCTTGTAACAATCCTTCTCGATTTTGTGACGCCATCGAAAGGTTAAGAATTAATTACTTAAACATGGAATTAATTACTAAAGCATATGCTACGATTAGGAATATTTATCTAAAGTAACTTTTACTCTATCTTTTTGGATTATATTTTACTTACAGAAAAACTAAACATACGCATTATATATCATCGTACGTTATCTCGGAAGAATAATATGGTTGATAATGATTGAAGATAGGACGAAATTTATTGGCTGGTTATAATCCGTCAAGCTGAAAACTTCTGGTAAACGATATTTCGTATGCATCGACATAACAAAAACCAATGTTGATGGAACGTATCCCGCGTGTTTTAACGTTAACCTATTCAGATAACAGATAATACGATTTTTGTATGTTTGTTAATCTATTATTACGAAGATTCTTCTGTTAAAAACTAGCAAACTATTTCTTTCCTGTGTTTACCGCAGCGTGATGAAAGATTTGTTTGTTGAAGATTCTGCGAAGGCAGAACGTTGAGTTTCAGGATTTCTCGAAGAACGAAAATGTATTTTTCAATATATAATGCCGTAACTGCATCATTCTCAACTTTTACTTCTAATTTTAAATAATGCACATATAACTTATTACTACATTAGACTAAAAAGAAAACACCCCACTGACGTGACTAAAGAAATAAAATAGATGGTATTCCGCTGTGGGTAGACATCCACATGTTATTTAGCGATAACGCGTTGACTGCCTCGTCACCCATATTAGGGTGACAGCAAAGTTCCTGATGGGGTAGTGTCACCCATATTCGGGTGACAGCAAAGTTTCTGATAGTGTAGCGTCACCCATATTCGGTGGCGCTTATTTGATTACTTGCGTAAGGATCGTCGTACGTATTTGAAACAATATTCCACAGGAAGTAATAAAACTATTGAATTGTTATAAAAGTAATACGAAAATGGTCTTTTAAGAAAATTATTTAGAATGTAAAACTTTGAAGCATACTATACAAAGCTGAGTTTGGTCGGAACAATTTGGACAATAAGTTGTTGTTTTCTGTAAATTCTCTCGTGTCTTTGATCGGTCCGTTCAATGTCTTTTATCTGCATAACATAATTTGCATGCGCGTCTAATGATTCTTCCGGAATCATTTTACCGAACGGCGATATTATGCTGATTCCGTCGAAGACAAGGATTTTTTGTATTTTCAGACAACCCTAATAATTTTCCAGCTAATAATTCTCTAAATCTCCTAATATTTACATCCTTCCTTGTTGCAATTTTGTAAACCGTCAAAGCGTTTACAACAAAAATTCCCAGAAGGAGTTGAATGCCAAGTTTTCGGTACCATTTGATTCCTCTTTTAATTGTGGTGGCATAAGAAACCATTTGGTCGAAATAATCTATACCACACTCGTGGCCTGAAGGAGATTTCATCGAAAACACGCGCGGTCGTCAACGTGTTAAGCTAAAAAAATTTACCAAATGTCCAACTGGACAAATTGTAAAGTACAAATTAAATAATAAAAAAAAATATAACATTAAATTGTAAAAAATAAAAAATACGTTGAACACCTTAATTTCTTACAACTACTGTAATACTCAGAAAATTGTTTATTAATTAATACGATATGGTAAGCGATAAAAAGCACACACGCAAGAGAACACGAAAAATATGTTAAATTCGAAACTCGTTAAAATTGATATTACTCCTTTTTCCGTGGACGCTTCATGTTGTATCAAAGGTCCGTAATTCGTGGTAAAGCCAAGAAGATCCCATGACGCAAAATGGGACGAAAATCAAGAATAAGAAAATTATGTCGGTGGCTTTGCTTTTGAGAAAATTGAGTTTGAAATTTTGCGATGTATGTATATCCAGTAGCGGACAAGAGTTTAAGATTAAGTTAGTTATCTGCTAGATTATCGTACTATATACATATATGTATTATACTAAGATAATAAATAATCAACATTTCGTAGTTGTCTTTGCAACTACATGACACTCGCGCTTTATCTACGAACGGCTACGAGACTTTTAAAACACAAACGATATTCGAGAGGATAAATATGAAACGACTCGATGCTGTACTCGCTGAAATTACTTTAGGACGAACGTTCGAATTCAGTGGTGCATCGAATTAATCGAACGATGATAAAACTATCTGGCACGACATACTACATTTATAGTAACAATCGCTGGATTCAAGTGAAAATCGCGAATAAAGCCAGCGATCTGAGTATTGCCACAGCTTGTAAGCAGGCGCTATCATGGTACCTATGAGTATAGAAAAAAGAAAAATAATACAGAAACGATAAACCAAAGAAACAACAGCAAAGACCACTGTTTATCCTGAAATGAAACGATCATTCTGATTTTGACATCGAAGGACGCGGGAGAAACCAATACTCAGTCGCAAAAATCCGAAGCTGAGAATTGCTTTCGTCGAAACACACGAGCATTGGACGGTACAAGATTTGGTTCAAAGTCTTATTATTTACCGAATGTTCAGTTGAACAAATTGTAAAGTACGAATTAAATAATAAAAGAAGTCTTATTCTCGGATGAGTCGAAATTTATTTCGTAGAGTGAAACTGAATAGCGAACGATTGCGACTATTTCAATAGCATTTTTCAATAGCAGCTACTGGTTGTTCGGTGTTTAGGATACAGAACGATATTCTACGAGAAAGGTAGTCGTCTTAAACTTTTGTCCACTAGTGTACGTAGATTTGCTGAATTCTCAACTAAACGAAAGTAGGTAATTGATAAATATAATAAGGATAATTGATCAGCAGGTTAGTTTACGTGTGAAAATAAACGGAAAATGTAGAATAAAATTACAGCCACACATCGACTATATCGATTTACCGCATGTCCTTATTGGACAAATTGTAAAGTTTCTTAAAAGTACAAAAAAAAAAAAAAAGGAAAGATACTGTACATAGATTATTGTGATTGAAGTGATATAATAAAAATAAATAGATACAGAATAGAGTTCCGATTATCCGATATGTCCGATCAATCGGCACACGTTCCTCGACTATTCTTCAGCAACCGTCGCGAATCGTATTTCGCATAAACGAAGAAGTCGAATACATCTAGCACGGTCGTCGATACCAAACAGTTGATTAAACGAACGAAACGAATTATCTCTGCATTAGTCATGGTTTTTTTAAAATTATTTTCTTCGTTTTTATCACCTCACAGGTACAGTCTGATTATGTGACACTGCTTTGGTCTTGAGGGATTCCACTGTATAAGACTGTGTCTCTGCTTCAATGAAGAATAACTTCAATTTTTCCAAAGCAAGCAAAAGCACTTGTATACGTTTGACAATATAACAACGGTACAAGGAAAAATGTAGAATCGAACATTTTGAAGAGAGGAAGTTTCTGAAAGAAACATCGTTTACAAGTTACTGCTCGCACGGTTTGCAAACAAAGTTTCGCCGCCGCGTATTCTTGCGGGTAAAAAAGAAATGGCACACAGCCATGCAATGGTGGTGCCTCGTTAATTTTTCAAGCTCCTCAGATATATCTGGCATTGTTTTGATATTTCGCGGGTACTCAATGCGCGTAAAACGCGCTCAAACAATTTCAGAAATCTCTGGACAACGTCAGACGCGAAAATAAATTCTTCGTCTTCCTCGATTCATTCCATGAACCAACGACACACATAAATTATCGAAGAAAAAAGAAGAAAAAAAAAAGAATGGGAACAGGTCGGTTGAATCGTCACAGTCGATTTTGTTTGACCTTCGTGGAATAGCGAAACGAAGATATGTATATACAGGTTTGTTAACGATGAGAGACACTGATGGCGACAAAAACAGAACAGATGGACTATGCCAGATGTCACCGCAATGGGATCGTCGCGTCGTAATCTTACTGCTCTTCTAGCTTGAAAGCCGGCCTCTGAAAAGGATCTCTCGATAAAACAGCATAGCTTGACGATTGGTACCGCGATAATGGTAACAATAGTCTTATTTCTATTATTCGTCGCGCGTCGGCCGTGCAATTATATCCTAATGGCACTTAGCGTTCGATGCTAAAATTAGCCGTTCCTGGATGAAACGAAAGGAGTGGTACGTACAGTGAGCGTCACGTAACAGCCGAGCCAGCAAACACGACGAAATGATGGATTTCAGATTTCTTGATTTTACGATCGAACAGGTTGGAATAAAAACGAGCTTTGTTCGTTTACAATGTACGATGACTACGAAAAGTATGGTAGTCTATTGTGGTGTACTACGAATAGCATCGCATTTATTACTGGGTTTGTATACCAATTAATTGGAGCCGACTGTAACAAATTTCGTATCGTTTAGTAGCATTTGCACGTGATTGCAAAAATGTAATGCTACGCAAACGAACTTTAGGAAATTAACGAAATTACAAAACGAAATTAAGGTACGTGTATATAAATACGTCTCGTAGCTATTGTATATTCTTTTGAATACCTGTTTCAGGCATTTCAATTTTTTTAACGATAGTTAATAATTTAATATACAGTAGCAGAAGACTTCAACTACTTAAATATATATATTTTTTTATTCATTTTTTGTCTGCCGGCTAGGACATGAGATTGATTTACACGGGTTTCTTCAAATTACGACTGAAATTACGAATATCATAAGAATAGTTGTTTTCTATGGGAATAATTAATTTTCATTCCATGACAAGTCGAATACTGTATTTTGGCATACAGTGGCACACGAAAGTGTTAGAACACTCTTGGAATTTTTAGTTTTATGCTTATATTATACGAGATATTTCGAAATGTCATTAGCACCGCGACAAGACGCGATTGTATTATGATTATATTAGTGAAACGAATGTAAAAATATGTAGAGAAGTTACAAGATATTTGTCGAACGCATACACTTCGCAAACATCATCAAGATATTGTACAGTTGATTATATCATTCGCTTTATTAATAAGTCACAATATGTAGTGAGATCATCTGCAGCACTAATTGTATGTTTAAAACTACTTCACGTCGTATACTAATTTTTCACTAAGCGTATGCTTTCAATAAATGTTTTCTAACTTTTATATACATTTTTGAATCGGTTGCAAATTTGGCTATCATAATCACGATAGCTGTGTTTTATTACAGTGCTAATGAAATAAATGAAAATTTTCCTATAATGCACGTAACCTATTCATGAAAGTTTGTTGTGGTAAGTGCTCGAATATTTTTTTGAATCACTGTAGATTATTTTTCACGATGTTTCACTATATCGTGAGTCTTGCCTCTTATTACTAGCCTTTATTGTGTAAACGTAACCATCGTAGGTTTTAAAATGTTCCTGTGGTTAATGTTTTTTAGTGGTTAATAATCTTTAAAAAAATCTGTAAAACTCCGTACAATGTCTTCAATTATTCTAAGTTAGATTAAAACACTCGTGCTGTACCGTTATGTTCCAGTTAGCTTCAACACGAAGCACCTACAGTACAAATAGAATGCATTTATTATCTAAAAAGGCGAAAAATTTGATAAGGGCCACGATTATTTAAACGAGTACGGACAAACGAAAGCACTTCTATCATTTAAAATATTCTTTGCGGCGAAAAGAGTCGACAAATCTAACCTGATAATGTAACTGTTTTCATAAACTTTGAATATTAAAAATGGAGCGAGCCAAAAAGTCATTCATTCGTCAAAATGTTTTCTCGTATCATAAGAAGAAGACTAAAGTAAAATAATCAAAATTGAGGAAAGTTACTAAGTTGTGTAATTGCCAAAAATATGTAGTTCGATTGAAGGAAAAAATGTCAACGACCTTGAAAAGTATGACTTTGAAAGGGAAAACTCATAAATTATAATATTCGTCATTCTACACGACCAGTTTTCCTCCAACGCAATTTTTTGTATCGACTGAAGTATTAAAGTAAAGATATTATGCAATGCAATGTAAACGAAACACACTGTATATTTTACTTATCTGGGTTTATTCACACATTATCGTTTAAAATTATTATTTTTTTTATTTTTTATTATAATATATAATTTATATTTTTTTATCGTTTAAAATAATTATTTATTTTAATATTTATGCATATATACACTGAATTATAAGTAATATATAATAATAATAATTATTATTATACGTAAACAAATTATATGTAATAATAACGTACACTGAATTATTTTAATTCACTGTATTCACGGAATTCTAGACAAAACACGTTTAACTTGGATCATTATGAATCAACAATCCTGAAAGAATCAGGTATATATGAAATGATTGATTATTCAATTATAATTTTATTCTCTCATAAATAAAGAAAATTCTATAAATAATTACGGAGGGTGAACTAATTAAAAATATCCAGACATGCATAAACTTATTGGATAATCGTGAAAGCACTTCGTCTATTGTGTATTTATACCGGCATAGACGAGATAGCAAAAGAAAGGAGGCAGAAAATAAGAGAGACGGACAGACAGAAAGAGAGAGAGAGAGAGAGAGAGAGAGAGAGAGAGAGAGAGAGAGAGAGAGAGAGAGAGAGAGAGAGAGAGAGAGAGAGAGAGAGAGAGAGAGAGAGAGAGAGAGAGAGAGAGAGAGAGAGAGAGAGAGAGAGAGAGAGAGAGAGAGAGAGAGAGAGAGAGAGAGAGAGAGAGAGAGAGAGAGAGAGAGAGAGAGAGAGAGAGAGAGAGAGAGAGAGAGAGAGAGAGAGAGAGAGAGAGAGAGAGAGAGAGAGAGAGAGAGAGAGAGAGAGAGAGAGAGAGAGAGAGAGAGAGAGAGAGAGAGAGAGAGAGAGAGAGAGAGAGAGAGAGAGAGAGAGAGAGAGAGAGAGAGAGAGAGAGAGAGAGAGAGAGAGAGAGAGAGAGAGAGAGAGAGAGAGAGAGAGAGAGAGAGAGAGAGAGAGAGAGAGAGAGAGAGAGAGAGAGAGAGAGAGAGAGAGAGAGAGAGAGAGAGAGAGAGAGAGAGAGAGAGAGAGAGAGAGAGAGAGAGAGAGAGAGAGAGAGAGAGAGAGAGAGAGAGAGAGAGAGAGAGAGAGAGAGAGAGAGAGAGAGAGAGTGGAAAGGTACCGACCAGGGTAACGTACAGAAACTTGCCAGTACTCATTAGAACCCGTGTCGTAATCTGTTGTTAAACGCGTTAGCAGCCGAGCAGAGAAAGTTTTCAGACTGAATTCAACGAACAGACTGAATTCTCTCTCCTCTTATTTCTCTGTATTCTCTGTCAAGACAACGCAGCATCAACTATTACGAGTATTCCATTCTGTTCAGGTGCATTATGGTTACTATTCGAGTATTTCGACCAGAAAGCTTTCTTTCTTGTTCTATTACGTATAAATAAAAAGTCACCTAC